CCCTCCCCACCCCCCACTCCAACAACACTCAGTTTGTTTCCTGCGATTAAGAATTCCTCATATCAATGAGATCATATGATACATGTCTTTCTCTGTTTGTAAAGTCCCCTACTATTATTGTATTATTATTGATGTGTTTCTTTAATTTTGTTATTTACTGGTTTATATAATTGGCTGCTCCAATGTTAGGGGCATAGATATTTACAATTGTTAGATCTTCTTGTTGGATAGACCCTTTAAGTAGGATATAGTGTCCTTCCTCATGTCTTATTAGTCTTTGGTTTTAAAATCTAATTTGTCTGATATAAGGATTGTTACCCCAGCTTTCTTTTAATGTTCATTAGCATGATACATGTTTTCCACCCTTCGCTTTCAACCTGGAGGTGTCTTTAGGTCTAAAATGAGTCTCTTGCAGACAGCGTATCATGGGTCTTGCTTTTTTATCCAATCTAATACCCTGTGTCTTTTGATTGGGGCATTTAGCTCATTTACATTCAGAGTAACTATTGAAAGAAATGAATTTAGGGCCATTGTACTACCTATAAAGTCCCTGTTTCTGTATATTGTCTCTGTTCTTTTCTGGTCTTTGTTACTTTTAGGCTCTCTCTTTGCTTAAAGGATCCCCTTTAATATTTCTTGCAGGGCTGGTTTAGTGATCACAAATTCTTTTAGTTTCTGTTTGTCCTGGAGGATTTTTTTTTATCTTTCCTTGTATTCTGAATGAAGCCTTGATGGATAAAGTATTCTTGGCTGCATATTTTTCTCATTTAGCACCCGGATTATTCTGTATTTTGAATGATTTCCAAAGACGGATTTCTGGACAGTTAGCTGACACCTGCTGAGACATTACAGCTGGGGATGAAATCTGGTCACCTGAGGTTAACTGCTACCTACATCCTTGGGGTGGAGATTGTCATGGGGATGCGTGATTGATTTAAGGTTCATGCCAGGGGCTCCCTGGGTTAGATGTCCCAAGCAGCACTGATGCTGGTGCTGGGACTCTCTCATTTTGGCCTTCTCCTTTGGAGATTTCCCCTGGCCTGACTGCTCTTGTCTTCTAGGGTCAGTGGCTCTGAGGCTGCGAGGTGGCATCCACCACTGTGCTGGGTGGCTGGATGTGTTCTACAATGGGACGTGGGGCGCCGTGTGCAGTAATGGCCTGAAGGACATCTCCTTGTCCATCATCTGCAAGCAGCTCGGCTGTGGGGAGCAAGGCTGGCTAGAGAACAGGCCCGTCCACACTGGCTCGGGCATCTCCTGGGTGGACAACATCGAGTGCCGCAGGCTGAGAAACTCCACGCTGTGGCAGTGCCCCTCGGCACCATGGTACCCACATTCCTGCACCCCTGGAGAGGAGGTCTGGATCACCTGTGCAGGTGGGATGCTGGTGGTTTCTGACAAGCCACCCATCCATGATTCAGGGCCGGGGGGTCATGTGGGTTCTACAAACTGCATTTTGAAGCTTTTCAGGGCATTTACAGTGGGATGGTTCCTACTTAATCCAATAGGATTGTCAGAGAAAATGGCACAGGATTCCGGGGAGACCCTCAACTGCTCATCCACCCACAGCTGCCCAGGTACCCTTCTGTCCATCTCCCTGTCCACTCTTCATCTTGGTCCTGCCCTGCAGTGACCCAGCCCCCTTTTCCAGAAGAGGGTATGCTGCGTGTGCATGGGGGCAAGGACAACTGCTCTGGCCGCGTGGAGCTCTGGCATGCTGGCTTCTGGGGCACCATCTGTGATGATTCCTGGGACTTGGCAGACGCAGAGGTTGTGTGCCGCCAGCTGGGCTGTGGCCCGGCTGTGGGTGCCCTTGTGGGGGCCGCCTTCGGGCCAGGCTCGGGGCCTGTGTGGCTGGATGAGGTGGGGTGCCGTGGCAGCGAGGCATCCCTGTGGAGCTGTCCTGCAGAGCCATGGGGACTCGGAGACTGTGGGCACAAGGAGGATGCGGGCGTGCACTGCTCCCGTGAGTGGGCAGGGGGTAGCGGGACAGGCGGGGTGGGAGGGTTTGTTGGGGGCTGGGGAGGGGTTACCAGAAGGGTTCCTCCGAGTATCCCCACAGAACCTGGCTTCCTCTGGCTGCCTCTGTGGCTGTCCCATGACATGTTGGCTCAGGCTGAGTGGGGCTGGGACACTTCCCTGAGGGTCTGAGTAAGGGTCTAGCTGCCCAGGGCTGTGGCTGCCTCCCCTACTTTGCCCTCAGATCCTTCCTATTTCTCTCGCAGGTGACAGGGGAACCACGGCCTTGCCACCAGCGCTGGCATGGACATCGGGTAGTGTGCTCTCCCTCAGGGCTCAGCTCATGCTCTCGTCTGGCCCCAACTCAGAGGGGCCCTACAATGGGTTCTGCACAGAGGGGTGCCCTGGAGTCTCCTGTGGGTGCCAAGGCTCCAGTCAGCCCCTCCTTAGGCTGGTCGGGCCAAGGTCAGGAGGACCAGGACCACTCCCTCCTCCAAGGAAAACGGCTATGCATCCTCCTCTGTGGAGAGCCATTGGGAGGGACAGCAGACCCAGGCCCTGCCCAGCAACTTCTCTGGGGTCTTTCTTTTACCAACTGGGGGGTTTGACCTGGGAACACTGTGGCCTCCCTTCTGGCCCCCTCCCTCCTGTGCCCCCTCCCTCCTGACTTTGCCCTATGACCTCGGGGCTGTCTCTGGGGGAGGAGCACAAGGTCATCTCTCCTCTGGGTGCCTTCCCCCTCCCTGAGAGGCTCAGGTGGTCCAGACCCAAGGTCACAATACCCCAGGCACACAGGCACACAAGGGAGACCCCGCCTCTCACTGTCCCCACAGGCCCTCCCCTGGCCCCTCCATCTGCCCTCAAGGCCGAGAACCTGCCCATGACGTTTTGCTTTGTCCTCGGCACCCTTCTGGTTATTGTCTCCCTGGTCCTGGGAGCGCAGTGGTACCGTGGCAGAACCCTCAGGGGTAGGTGGGTGTGGTTGGGGAGGTGAACACAAGGCTCGGGATGGGGAGGCTGGGGGCACACACTCTGAGACCCCAGCCCATCACAGGCCCCTTCTATCCTGGTAACTGCTCTGCATGCCTGGTCCCACCTGGACCCCCACTGCATGGCGACTTCTCAGTGACACTCTTGGACCCTGGGGACTCAGGGGATCCTGGGCCTTGCTTTGCTTCTGAAGGGTGGCCTGGGTGTGAGAACAAGTCCCCAGTGGTGTCCTGATTCCTCAGGCCATCTGTATGGTGGGGCTAACCAGCCCTGGGTGCCCGGGGAGGCATGTGCCCTTGTGGGGGATGTTGCTCTTGGTGGGCGACTGCAGCAGAAGGGCCAGGTTGCATGCATGGGAGGCCCCACAGGGCCAGCAGACAGGAGGTCAGTTGGGGGCTGGGGAGGGGTTGCCACACTGTGGGGAGTGTCTCTTCTAGAGGGCTCTGGTGTGGCTTTTGCAGGTTCCAGGATGTTGGGGAGTCTGCCCTCAGAAGGTGTTTATGAGGACATCGGAGCTGTCCCCATGGGGGAGAAAGATGAGGGGCCCAGAGTGTCCCAGAACCTGGCCCTGGAGGAGGAGTATGATGATGCTGGGGAGCCAGAGCTGGGCCCTGAGGAGGAGGAGGAAGAGGAGGAGGCGCCCCTGAGCCCCACCGGTGTGCACCTCTGTGCCTTGGTGTCTGTCCTGCTGTCCCTTCTGTACTGTGCCTATGCCCGGGGCTCTGCTCTGGCCAGTGCCTACATTTAAAGACCCTGAGAGCCATCAGCCCATGTGTTCATGACCCTCACTCCTGCGTCACAGGCTTGGATGTCAGGAAATTCGGCCGTCCCTTCAAAGTTGCTCCTTAGACAGGAATCTTCTTGTGGGTGGATGTGGAGTTTAGGGAGGGTCCTGGAGTTTTCTTTGGGTTTCTTTTCATGGCTGCCCACAGGGCCCTTCTAGTACCTTGTCCTGGCCGGCTGCAGGGAGCCTGAGCAGACAGGGTGGGAGGGGTTGCAGTGTGACCCTGGCTCACCCACTCTAGTCCTTGTCTGACCTTCTGGCTTCAAGTGACACACCAGGGCCAGAAGTCAGGGGGGCTCTGAGCTATGGCCAAGGGGCCCAGTGCACGTCTCTCTCCTTAAACGCAGGTGGGGCTCCTTGCAGCCTCGGCCCCAAAGCTCAGGCTGAGATGGAAGACACAGCGTACCCTAGGACGTGATGACAGTGAGCTGGCCATGGGCGACATCAGTGAGACCAGAGGAGGGAGAGAGCCCAGGCCCTGGAGAGCTTTCATTGTCCCATTTCAAAAGATGTCATTAAAGTCCCTTTGAACCCACTCATTCATGCATTAATTCATCTCAGAAACATTCCTCAGACCGTCCCCCCTCAGCCCAGGTTCTGTTCTCAGCTACCCCCTCTTCACCCTGGTCCGATGTGGACGCATGTTTTCAACGTTCTGCACCCACAGCTTCTTGCCCACGTGGTTTTCCTGTGCGCATCCGGATGGGGGCCCCTGACGAACCAACTCCTGGGCGCCCCTCTTCACATCCACAGAGGGTGCTGGAACCGGCCCAGGTGCTCCGTTGTGCCAGAGTCCCCAGTACTCACAGAGGGACCCAGCCCTTTGTGACCATACCCACACTGGCCACAGCCTTTCCACCTCCCTTCTGTCCCCACCCTACCCTCACTCTCTGCATCCTGCCACCGCCACTCTGACCACGCCCTGACCACGCCCACCTGGCCACACCTTCCCCACCCCACCCTCACACCCTGCATCCCTGACCACCGCCACTCTGACCACGCCCTGACCACGCCCACCTGACCACACCTTCCCCACCCCATCCTCACACCGTTCCTCACACCCTCCTTCCCTGACCACACCCACCCTGACCACAGCCTGGTCACCCTCACACTGGATATCCCTGGGCCTGGGGGGTGGGGGAAGGTGTGCGGCAGGAGTGCGTCCCCTGGGGTCAGGAGGGAGAGAAGGGAGCTGGCAGGAAGTGGGGTGGGGGTCTGGGCATGGGACAGGGGTCTGGAAGACGCATGGGGAGCAGAGTAAGGGTGTCAGCCAAGCAGCCAGAGCGGTTGGGACTTAGAGGCAGTGTGCGGGACCCCTCTATCTGTGCTGCCCTTCCCCAAAGCATAGTGCTCCGCTCCTGCCCCAGGCAGCCGGACCGTGCCCCCTTCATGGCTGTGTGCTGAGCTTTTTCCCGGTGGCCCCCAGTCCTTTCAGTGCATTTGTAGGGTATTGATTAGGCTTCTTGTGAGGGAAGAGCATGGGGGGACCCTCTTGAGGCAGCTGCAGGTCCCTGAGCCCTGAGCTGGGGGTGCAGCTCAGAGCAGGCGCAGACTGTGGCTCGGGAGGTGCTGGGGCTGCTGCGCAGGGGGTCCTGCTGACCGGGTCCTCCTGCCCTCCCTGGAAATCCTCGTCTCCCTCCAGACTCTCCTCACCTCCTCCATGCTGGTCTGAAAACCTGAGCTGCCCTCTCGAAAACTGGTCATCTGGCAAATCTTTTGGAAAGCAACCATTATTGATCTTATTCTGTTTATAAAACAATACATGTTTATTATTGTAAATTTAAAAACTCATAGAACAAAGAAAGAGAATGGAAAACACTTGTTCTACACTCAGAAATGAATCCCTCAGCATCCTGGTTTATATCCATGAGAACCTTTCTTTGCACTGATGTGTAGATATGAGCATGATTTACGAGGTGCGTGGTCTATGGGTCCTGTGTGCTTCCCGCCTGACCCGTGCGGTCATCGTTTGCAGGTGGGTGGAGCACTCTCCCTACCCAGGTGGCTGTGAGGTGTGGCCCTTCCTCCTTCCAGGTGAATGTGCTGCTCTCCACAGGGCTCTGGGTTCCAAGAGGTCCATGAGAGGAGGGGACCACACCACGTGAGCCCCAAAGAGATGGGCTGTCTCAGCCCTTTGCAGGCAGTGAAGCGTCTGTGTGCGCGTGAAGAGCCGACACCCTAACTCTGTGGAGATGCCTCAGAAAACGGTACTTAGGCATTCATTTGTTAATATTTTAATTCCTTAATGTCATTGACACCATCAAAATAAAGTGTGAGAAAACTTAAGAAAATCAAAATTAAGGATACAAATTGAGATGGAAGGTGAATATTTGATTTCTAATTTTTGAAATTTCTGGACAAAGAGTCCTTGAGTGCATTTTTGCCATGTACAACCTTCCTGTGTTCTTGCTCCAAAGGCAAGAGTCACTGGGGGGCAGACACCGCTGGGGGGCCGGGCAGTCGGGTCAATTTCCCAGAGACCTGTCAAACGCCTACCCTGCCCTTGATGGACTGTTTTCAGTTCAGTGTCCCCCCAGGTCATGCGGAGGCCCAGCTAGTGGGTGCCGAGCACCCCTGTGCCAGCGTCTAGAAGTGAGGTGTGGCCTGACCTAGGGCATCGGCTGCAATGCCCACCTGGACCGGGCCAAGGCCCACGTGGTGTGCCCGGGAGCTGCAGTGTGGCTCAGCCGTGTCCACTCCTGGGGACGCTCACTTTGACTGGGGCTCTGGGCTCGTGTGGACAGAGGTCTTCTGTTGTGCAGGCAATGAGTCTCTGCTGTTTCACTGCCCCTGGGGAACTGGGCACCAGTGTGAGCACTGCCAGGATGCCAGACTTAGGCGGGAAGCAGAAAGTACGTGTTTCTATCATTGTGAAGGGAATTGTTCTCTTAATTTCCTTTAGGGTTTTTCATTGATGGTATGTAGAGATTCAACTAATTTTTATGTATTGATCTTGTACCATCAACTTTCCTGAATTTAATAGTTTTTTGTAGGATTCTGTAGGATTTTCTACATAGAAGATCATGTGTCTGTGAATACAGATATTTTACTTCTTTTCCCATCTGAATGCCTTTTGTTTCTTTTTTCTTGCCTAATTGTTTTGACTAGGAGTGGCGGGAAAGGCGTCCATGACTTTCCCCCCGATAGGAGGGGAGCTTGCAGTCCACCCACCGCTGAGCCTGGTGCGTGCTGTGGGTTTTCATATATGGCCTCTGTCATGTTGAGAAAGGTTCCTTTCCTTTCCAGTTTGCCGAGTGTTTCATCCTGAAGGTCTGCTGGGTTTTGTCAAATGCTTTTTCTGCATCAGTCGAGATGATCAGTGGAGAATCTGGGGCTGGGCTTTTCTTTGTTCAGAGATTTTTATTTACTGATTCATTCTCTTTAATTTTTATAAGTCTGCTCAGATTTTCTGTTTATTTTCGGTCAGTTTTGGTAGTTTATGTGTTTCTGGTAATCTGTCCGTTTCATCTGAATTATGTCATGTGCCGGGTGCATGCTCACTGTCTCTGCTTCTGTTCCTCAAGTTTGGTAGGAATGCCTCCACTTCCGTTTCTGATTTTAGTAACTTGAGTCTTTTCTATTGTTTTCATGGTCAATCTAGTTAAGTGTGAATTTTATTTACCTTTTTAAAGAATAAAATGTTTATCTTCATTATTCTCTCTCTTGATTTGTGCTGTACATTCACTTGCTTTCATTCTATTCGTCATGACTCCCTTCCTTCTACTCGTTTCAGATCTGGTTTCTTCTTCTCTTTCTAGTATCCTAAGGTATAAATTTAGGTTATTGTTTGGAGATTCTTCTTAATGAAGGCATTTTTTTATTTTTTGCTTCAATCCATGTCTTGGTATGTTGTGTTTTCATTTCCATTCAGCTCAAAGATTTTTCTAGCTTTCTGTGTGATGTCTTTGCCCCATTGGCTGTTTATGAGCCTGTTGTGTTTGTAGATTTTCCAGTTTTCCTGGTGCTGTTCATTTCTAGCTTCATTCCACTGTAGTCAGAGATACTTTTTGTGATTTCAATCTCTTAAAATGTATTCAGATTTGATTTGTGGTCCAACATACAGTCTATGTAAAGACTCTTTGTTACGTGTGACCACAGAGGTCTCTTTCATTAGCTGAGTGGTGACTTGAAGTAGATTTGAAATTGATTTTCTTAAATGCTTGCAGCCAAAACCAAACACCTGGCCTTTGTGCACCAGCTCTTTGTTGGCTCACACCTTCAGCACTCTGGCCGGCTGCCACCAGCTCTGCCCTAGTGCCCATTTCCTACCTGTGCAGGACCAAATTCACCCACATCTTGTTTCAGCACATGTCCCTTGGTGTTGTGAGTAAGAGAGGAGTCTTCCTCCAGACCCTCTGCCCCACACCTGGACAAGCTGATGAGAGACCCGGGTCACAAGTCACTGCCTGTGTGTGGAGACCCTCACCTGGCCCCACCGCCTGACAGGGTAACCCTGAGCCACGCTCCTTCCCCGCTGTCTCAGGCTCGCTGGGGGCTGCCCTGCTCCCCCTAGAGACCACAAGGGATGAGTCAGGGACTCTCCTACTGGCTTAGTGTGTGTGGTATCACTGGTTTCCACATCTGCTATGGTCTGAATATTTGGGTCCCCTGAAATTCCTATGTCGAAACCCAAGCGCTCAAGGTGGCGGTCTTTGGAAGGTGACGAGGTCGTGATCCTGGAGCCCTCATGAATATGATCGGTGCCCTTGTAAGAGACTCCAGAAAGTGCCCTACCCAGTCCTCCCTGTGAGGACAGAGGGAGGAGAGCCAGAGGTGGGCTCTCACCAGACACCGGGTCTGCCATGCCTTGGTCTGGGACTTGCAGCCTCCAGTCTGTGGTGTTCAGCTTTAGCAGCCCCAGACAGACTGAGCCAAGTGTTGGGTGGGTGCTCCTGCCTTTGCATGGGGTCAGTCTACCCAGAGAGCGTTCTGACCTGGGCATGTGTTTCAGAAAGTGAGGACAGTTGCCAGGACGCAGCCCTGACAAGGCCTCAGAGGGGATACCACCCTTGCTTGTGCGCTCCGGGCCGAATGGGACCCTGTAAAAGAGAGCAGAGCAGAGCATGGGGTGGTTGGTGTGAGCACGCCGTGAGGCTCCCCAGTCAGGAGGCTGCCTGCCGGCGGCAGCGGCACTGCCCGTGGCCCTCCTGCCACCTCTCGGCTGTCCCCACACCGGCTGCAGTGAGCTCAGCCTGAGAGGGGAGCCTGGTGATGCCATTGGGTGGGTTCCATTGGAGCCCAGAAGGAGCCAGAACAGCCCTTCTTCTGTGAGCTGGTATGATGAGGGAGGGGAGCAGAAGGACCAGCCTCCTAGGGGCCACCCACTTCCAGTCTGCTTTTGTGTTAAAGAAAAAGAGATTCTGAGCAAGTCTTAGCGACAGTTACTGCGCTCTCTGTCCAGGAGGAAAGTCGACCTAATCCAGGTCTGAAGGGGTGGCCGGGTGGCTGCCCCCTTGGTACAGAAGAGAAACTCTTCTCAGGAGCTGCCCAGA